AACGTATTTTAATCATTTTTTTCCGCAAAAAATTATAAACTACTCGTTGTATAGGTAATGATGTCGTTGCTTCATTGTGAAAACCCCTATTGCCAATTTCTGATGTGGTAGTCCACATGCTCACTATGAATGTATCATGATGATCGTTCTCTAGGTTTTTGGTGTCATTACGTTCGTTGATTTGTGGTAACCAGGGAAGTTGGTCTATCTTCCTTAAACAGTAAAAGCATCCCAATGAATGTGTAACTCGTCTCATTCTTCTGGTTGCCACCAATCATGATTGGTGTACAGACGATCAATCTGTGTCCAAGATGATTTTAGAGTTGGACCTATTCATGCCTTGGAGATTGAAAATCAAACACATAAACAATTCTTAAAGGTTTGCATCCACATAGCAGATACGAAAGAACACAATGAATAAAGCATGTACTCAAGAGTTCTAAAATTATATTAACAAAAGGAAATGTACATCGTCTATATTCATTTTACAAAAGGTCATCCAAAAGAGTTATAACTAATATCCTAGTTATATTTTTCCTAAGTTAGCCATGGCTCGTACTGTGGCTCCTTGGGTTCATATGTGGTGTATTGCTCTTCCTCAAGATACTGCTTAGTGAGATGTTCATTTTCTTCTCCTTGAAGTGCAAATATTCTGCTTGTTGGCCTCTGATTGTTAACTGGACCAGATTTCTGATTGCTCTCCGCCTTGTAATTTTGTTGCCTAGTAGCTCCCGACTTAATTACCCATGGTTGCTACCTGCCAATACCATGCGTATTTGTTCCCGAACACTCTCCTTGATTTTCGGCTAGTTGGGGGCATTCAAACCTCCTGTGTCCCATCTGTTGACAATGATAGCACTGGATCAACCCAGCTGGGCTTGTCTGAAAACTCTCCTTCAGATTTTGCTGCTGCGATTGTTGGGGTTGTTGGGGTTTCCTAGAATACGGCTTCTGTGCTACATGCCTTTGACTATTTATTTCCAGTCCCACATTGGATTGATTGTTTTCTTTCCTCAAACTCCAAATCCTCTTGGAATCTACCACCTCGCATTATGAATCAAGTGTTGTATCAACCACATTTGCAAAGTAGGAAGTCGCATGGGCAAAACTCTTCCTCGAATTGTAGGGTCTAGACCCCATTCAAATTTCTGTGCTTTGTCTTCATCGTTTTCTACGTATTGAGTCGCATAACGCGCCAACTCCTCGAACTTTGCCACGTATTGGGTCACCGTCATTGTGCCTTGTTCTAGGTTCAGAAATTCACAAATTCTTTCTTGTTTGACCGTGTTTGAAAAGTACTTCCTCAAAAATAACTCCTTAAACTGCGCCCATGACATTGCGATGATGTCCCTGGATTCCCGAATCAGGGCCCACCAATGATCTTCTTCCCCTTCTAGTTGTAAACTGCTAGAGCAATCCTATCAATGTATTCAGTTATTCCCATCGTATTGAACATCTTTTCAATTTGTCGGATCTAGTTTTTAGCAATTTTAGGATCGGATTTGCCAGTGAAGGTCAGCGGTCTCTGTTTGCGAAACTCGGAGAATAGATGTGTCTTTTCATTTAGGCGTGTTCTCCTCAGCCTTTCTAATTCTTCCAAAATTTGATTTCCGACATTCCTGGGTAAGTCGGCAGTGGATGTAAGGGCATGGTCGCGATTGTTGACCCCAGGTGCCCCATTCCTGTTTATATTGGCATCATCGTTGCGGTTGGTGGCGTTGTTATTGCCTACCTATTTGTTTGCTCTTGTATGGTTCACCATCTGCCAAACGCGCAGTTGAGTGCAGGTTAGGGTTTTGTTAATGTGGCTAGTCAAGGAAATTACTAAAGTGAAATGCTCTACTCGAAACATAATCCAAGTAACACTTAATAAGCACCTAAGGTAGTCTTACTCAACCATCGACTCCATCACCACTCTCAGTCGCTCTGGGGCAACTGCATGTTTTGGTTCACTGATTGAACCTAACTTTTCCTTTCCTTATTATGAAATTCTAGTTCCACTACCCTTATCTAAAAGGCTTTCTTCAGCACCTGGTACCAATACTAGAATCATTGGCTCACGACTATATACTTTCACGAATCAACATTGCCATGCCCCGAAATTCGAAGAAACGTCCTAGAGTTGGTCAAGAAAATTTTAATTTTTGACATCTTCTAGTCTCCAGACTGAGTAGTGTTATCATAATGTGATATAGTCGATGGCAAGGTTGTTTCTAATTGCAAGTCGAAACGCATGGGTAAGGGTTGAACCTAAGCTCTGATACCAAGTTGTTACGCCCCAAATTTTGATAATATAATGCGACGATACACCGGGGTTTAACAAGTGGATACACATCATTTTTAAGCACAAAATACAAATAATTACACTAAAAGAAAATATTAATAATAGTTACAGATAAAGTTCTTCAAGTCTTTAAATACAAATCAGTTCCTTTATACGAAAAGATTATCCAAAATACAAGAATTATAAAATCTAATCTCTAAGGCAGCCATGGTTTCGCAAAGCTTTTAGGGATTTCGTTCTTGGTGTAAAACTCACCTTCACCTGGCATAAAACGCCATGAGCTTGGAATGCCCAGTAAACACACACATCCCTACCCTTTTCCCATTCCAAATACACAAGTAACATAACGACATGATCATAACATACAGTGAAAGCAATAATTAAGCAGAGCTTATAATTAAATTTCAGTTCTCATGAATAATAGTCAATTTTAGTTTGTTCTAGACAACTCCCCGCAGAATGTCATTCCTACCCAACCACTAACAATGGCCACGGGCCATTCTGACTCCCCTTTGGTTAATACAATACCAATGCGTCACTTACCGTATAACCACTAGTGTGTCGCTTACCGCAAAATTACCAATGATGCCCACGCACCTTGGTTACATATCCGAGTGGTGACATCACGGTCTGCCCCAAGGGAATAGGCTTCTAGGGATACTCTCCCTGTGTGAGACCCTCACTGCCACCCTTATGCATCCAATTTCTGTTAAGCGGCCAGAATACCTCCCGTGCCATGTTAGGGTTCAAAAACACACTTGCGCAAGACTTCACAAAAATGGAACACATTCCACTATAACATACTCTTGAATCCATCATTCATTATCTCATAAAATTTAATACAATGATCGCAACCCATTGCCATCTCATTTGATTTCCTCTTTATTAAGTGCATTATGTTCTCAGTTATAACGAAGCATGGTCAGTCTAATTACGAATCCAAACTAAACAACAAGTAATTTATTCATAGTAAAGCAAATTCACAATTTATCATAGATTACATATCGAGACTAAAACATTCAAGAAACATAGAATATAAGAGTTGCAAACCAAATAAGAGCATATTAACACAAATTTTCAAATTTCCAAGTTTGAACCAGATTGAAAATAATTATGAAAAAAATACTTTTATTGGCCCTAAGTACCTGGCCTCATGTGAGTTTGTAGATAAATAAGTCTAGTTTCAAACTCAATTTATGAAAGTAGGATAGGTATTTTAGATTTTAAGATAATTTAGAATTATCAAGATCTGTCCAGATTCGTTGACAGTTACGCAAATCGGTTTTTCTCTCAAACCCTTCACTCTCTTGAGTTCAAACAAATTTTAGTTAAAATATAACACCAAGATTAAGATTTTGACATAAAAGTGGACTCAAGATTATTATTTTTCTGGAATTTTATAAAAATAGAGAAAGTTGACTGTTTTTCTAGTTCTGTGAGTAACAAACTTAGAAAAAAATGTTTAGCTTATAAAAATACATCCTTAGGTCCTACCAAAATTATCACATACTCTAGACATACCAAATATTACACCATAAAAACAGATTTCGAGTTTATGGAGTTTTGATAGAAAAATAAATTCAAGAGAGAGAAAAGATTTGCCGTTGGAAATTTAAGAAAGAAAGAGAAGTATACCATTTCTTGATTAATACACATTTATATAAGAGTGTAGGCCTAGACTACAACATATATATATATATATATATATACAAAAAGCATGTATTAGGAAGGGGAAAACAAGTGGTAAAAGAACTTGAGATAAGAGGTGATGTGGGTTTATCTTTGTTGTACAAGACTCAACACAATTTTTCTTTTTCTTCTTCTCTTCTCTCTCTCTCTCTCTCTCCCTCTCTCTTTTTTTTCCAAGATCACTCTCTCTCACTCCTCTAGTGCATGGCTGAAAATGTGTAAAATGAGGGAGGAGAAGTGTGCATACATATATAGAGAAGGATTGGGAGGTTTCTTAGGAGCCAAGTTTTGTAAGTATAATTTGTCAAAGTTGCCATCAAGGCCCTTTCATCCATCACATGGTCAACTACTTGGGCTCCAAGAAATATATATATATATATATATATAAGATATTTGTATTTATAAATATAAAATAATAGGCATAAGTAAATTAATTAAGAAAATATTACAATTAAGGTTTGGAATGAAATAAAATAGAAGTATATAGGGACCAAGTCTAAATTTATGAAATCTTGATATTTAGTATAAAATATACTAACATTAGAATAATAAATTTGGGTCCCGTTAAATTAAAGCGCAAACAAAGACGAGAAACCGAGCAAAAACGGCATTACTGGGAATTAAGATTTTAAAGTGATTAATCTATAATTATAGGGTCTAATAATTAATAATAGGGTTTTAAAGGTGATTATTAATCTACGGGATCGATTAGGGTTTACTCGAGTTAATCCGCGATGCTTCCCGATTCTAGGGTTTAAAAAGCAATTAAGCAAAAATTCAAGAGCTTTAGTGAAATAAACTCATGGTTAGGGATTTAATGGTAATTACAAAAATCAGGGTCTCTACATATAAGAACAAAATAATAAAAAATTTCATAATTTCTTAGATCGAAAATTATATTTTAAAAAAAATATATTACAAAATTGAACTATTTTCACACATAACTTTACACAACACTCCAATCCAAATATTATTCAATTAATTTATGCACTACTTATTTAAAAAAAAAATATTTTGGATCATTACAATGGAGGTTGTTAACTTGGGGACGGAAAACACTCAAAACGACAATGCTCTTATCTCCCAAATAAGGCCTATTCAAATGGGCAACAGAGTTAACAACAATTCATTGATGCGTCAATTGAATGGGCCTGTGAGAGAGGTTGTTAACTTGGATAGGCAAAACAATCAAAACAACAATGCTCTTATCTCTCAAAAAAGGCATATTCAAATGGGAAACAGAATTAACAACAATTCATCGATGAGTCAATTGAATGGGCCTATAAGAGAGGTTATTAACTTGCACAAGCAAAACAGTCAAAACAACAATGTTCTTATCTCTCAAACAAGGCCTATTCAAGTGGGAAACAATGTTAACAACAATTCGACAATCTCATTGATGAGTCAATTGAATGGGCCTATGAGAGAGGTGGTTAACTTAGAGAGGCAAAATAATCAAGACAACAATGCTCTGATCTCCCAAACAAGGCCTGTTCATAGTATTAACAGAGTCAACAACAATTTGCCAATCCCACTGAGGGGTCAATTGAATGGGCCTATGAGAGAGATGGGTAACTTGGAGAGGGGAAACAATCATCAAGGCAACAATCAACACAACAATATATTTATCTTCCAAACAAGGCCTATTCAAGTGGGAAGCAGAGTGAACAATGCAACAATCCAATTGATGGGTCAAGTGATTGAGCCTATGAGAGAGGTGGTTAACTTGGAGAGGGAAAACAATCAGCACAACAATGGTGAGAATGAGTTAGATTTAACTCCAAGGTTATAAAACATAAGAAGATGAAAGGGTTTCTTCTGGGTAGTTCATTTCAGTTGTGAAATTTGTCTCTCTCTATTTTTTAGTAGTCCTTTTGTTTTATATGTTTTTAAGTCGCGTTGAAGTGGGTCTTGAAACTAATTGAGGGTAGCTCCGTTAGTCACTCATGTATACTCTAACCTGAGAGGTTAGGAGGTCAATCATTGTTGTAGGCAAAGATTGATTATTGACTCTCTATTAGAGTGTCTTTATTTAGTTGTTTATTTGTTCTTTGTTATAAACTTTTTCTTGTGATGGTTCCATGTTATGTGTTCCTTTTTTGTAATGGTTGTTGATGTCGAGTTTGCAATTAGTCGTATTAAATTTTCTTATGTAATTGATTATTCAGTTTAATATATTTACTTTGATATCTACATATATTCTCCTATCGATTCAAAATTGAAGTATCACTTGCAAAACCCATAAATAGAGATTAATTTAAAATGAAAAGAACATGTGAAGCTCACAACAAATTTTACAAATAGACTTACATTGGTTTGACTTAATGTCTACATTTCGTTTGCAAATACGGAGCAAATTTGTGACTAATTTGCGAATTTTTTACAGTGAGATAACGAATTGAAAGCAATAGAGCGTTGATTCATAAGTTCTTCGATATTCTTTCCTATAGATTAGAATTAGCCATAGTTTGTTACAATATAAAAAATCACATTATTTTTTATTTTATTTTGTTTTTGTTTTTAATGATTTTTATTTTTTAAAATCTGTGTCAATTGTTTTTACTTTTCAAATTTGTTTAGTGTAGAAAGATTAATTTAAAATTAATTTTATTTTCTGATAAGTGTATTTTTAATAAAAATAAATAATTAATTATTAATTTTTGTTACATATGTACTTTCTATGTAAGAATTTAAAATACAATTTTAAAAATCTTTCCATAGTAGTCTTTCTATATCATTTTTCTTAAATTATGTTACCATATTTGCAATGTAATATTATTTGAAAATAATTCTTTTTTTGTATTATTCACAAATAATTTTTAATTTGGAAAAGAAACCCCTGCACCTAAATCTTTCTATATTAATCGTTCCAGAATTTAAAATACAATTTTGAAAATCTTTCTATATTAGTCTTTAAAAGCAATATAATTAAAGAAAATTAGTAAAGTCATTATTAATAGATTAATTTAAAATTAATTTTACTTTCTGATAAATGTATTTTTAATAAAAATAAATAAATAATTATTAATTTTTGTTATATATGTACTTTCTATGTAAGAATTTAAAATATAATTTTGAAAATCTTGCCATAATAGTATTTCTATATCATTTTTCTTAAATTATGTTACCATATATTATTTGAAAATAATTATTTTTTATATTAATCGCAAATAATTCTTAATTTAGCCCCCTACACCTAAATCTTTCCGTATTAATCTTTCCAGAATTTAAAATACAATTTTGAAAATCTTTCCATGTTAGTCTTTAGAAGCAATATAATTAAAAAAATTAGTAAAGTCATTATTAATAGATTAATTTAAAATTAATTTTATTTTCAAATTATATTAATATTTCCAGAATTTAAACAATTTTGAAAATATTTCCATATTAGTCTTTGGAAACAATAGAATTAAAGAAAATTAGTAAAGTCATTATTAATGGATTAATTTAAAACTAATTTTATTTTCAAATTGACTTTTATAGGTGTAGGGTTTCTTTTTCCAAATTAAGAATCATTTGCAAATAATACACAAAAAAAATTCAAATAATATTACATTGCAATTATGGTAGTACATTTTAAGGAAAAAAAAATTTAATAACAACTATCATATTTAAAGTGACACTTTTAGAGAGTTTAAAATGTAAACTTAAATTTATATAATATAATTTTGGACAATCATTGCAAGACTATGTGGAACATTTAACAGTTTAAAGATTATAAATATATATATATATATATATATATATTAGAGTAAAAAGTAAAACTACTCATCTCTTAGTTTTTAATTTATTTAAAATAATTTTGAAATATAAAATATATGTTACACCAAACACTTTGACATAAATTCTTAATATATATATATATATATATTTAATTAAATAAATCACGCCGAATATGGGTTATACTTTGAAATTGTGTAATTCTGGATCTAAAAAAATTACTTTGGCTTATTAATTTTGCACAATTTTGCCATATGAAAACTTAATCATGATTGACTTCAAAAATTTGCTAGAGTAGTTTATAACTGTTGGAACAATCTTCTGTGTAAATAAAATAAATTGAAATAAATCAAACAAAATAAATAAATAACGTATCAAATTTATTTATCGAACCGAATTAAAAATAAAAGACCAAGTCGAGTGTGTGACACTCTGTCCTTAAGACAGATTTGCCCCGCTATGGTGCTTACGGCTGAGTGGCATCTATTTCCCAGGATACAATGATCTTCACAAACTTGTAGTAGCATTCCACACAAATTTGTACGGCGAACTAGAACCTTGTGTTCTTTTACTCTCTTAAATTTATTCCAAATCTAATATGAAGAATAATGCAAAAGTAGAAAATTCTAGACAGCAAAATAGAATAATTTCATACTATTTTGGGATCCTTAGACACTACTGGAATGTTGGTATAATAGGCAAAATATTCTGTCCCAACAGGTATGTAAACCACCGAACAGATATGACACTGCAATTGGACAGATCTGCAACTGTGCAGATATGAATCTGTCCGAATTTCAACAGATTAAAATCTGTCTTGACAGAATTTTTTGGATGTTATTATCCACCCCAATCTGTAGAAACAAGTCTACAATCAAAATAAACAAACCCTTTGATATAATCCACTCAATTCATGATATAAATTCTGACAGATATCAAAGGAAACAAGCAAAGATGCTCCAGATGAAAAGCCTAAATCCCAAAAAGAAGATCTAGAAGCTGTGCCCTAGAAACTAGATTAATTACAGATTTATAGTAAATAGAATCGCGATCTCCGCTCGACCGCAGGAATGGCCGCTTGAGCTGTGTAACTTAAACGCGTGTTTCTGAACAAGTGCCTTCGTTCGTGTCACGACCCGAACCCGCCCCCATGGGTTAAGGACGTAACCGGCCAGTAATCCTAAGATCACCTACGGCCTCAAACCAAAACAGACTTAACACATCAGAGTAAAGGGGGGCCAAAGGGAAGCCAAATTGAAAACTTTGTCCATAGAGCTGTGCTTATATGCACATCAAACAAACCTTACGTCAAAACGGCTTTTAGCCCATTCATTTACGTCAAAACGGCTTTTAGCCCATTCATTTACGTCAAAACGGCTTTTAGCCCATTCATTTACGTCAAAACGGCTTTTAGCCCATTCATTTACGTCAAAACGGCTTTTAGCCCATTCATTTACGTCAAAACGGCTTTTAGCCCATTCATTTACGTCAAAACGGCTTTTAGCCCATTCATTTACGTCAAAACGGCTTTTAGCCCATTCATTTACGTCAAAACGGCTTTTAGCCCATTCATTTACGTCAAAACGGCTTTTAGCCCATTCATTTACGTCAAAACGGCTTTTAGCCCATTCATTTACGTCAAAACGGCTTTTAGCCCATTCATTTACGTCAAAACGGCTTTTAGCCCATTCATATACGCCAAAACGGCTTTTAGCCCATTCATCTATGTCAAAACGGCTTTTAGCCCATTCATTTACGTCAAAACGGCTTTTAGCCCATTCATTTACGTCAGAACGACCTTCGGTCCATTCATATTCATCTAACGACCTTTGGTCCATTCATATACATCAAAACGACCTTTAATCCATTCATTCTTATCAAGACGACCTTTGGTCCATTCATATACATCAAAACGACCTTCGGTCCATTCTTTCTTATCAAAACGACCTTTGGTCCATTCATTGATTCTTGTCAGACTCTAGTCCACAATCCCAATTAACAGCTCATAAAGTTTATAAGGGAATAACAATTGGACATTGACAAACTTTCAAATATTGATATTACTCACAGTGATCGGCTTGTTGATATGCCCTGGAGCTTGACCCTACACGTTTCATGAACACAAAAGGGTCATTAACAGTTTAATCCGTTCTTTAATTCACATATTCCTCTCTAGGCTTTATTTTTATCTCATTAACTCATTTATAATGTTTAACACACGCCTAAGAGTGATTACAAGTGAAAGAGAGCGGAAAACGAAACACAGAACGCATGAACAAAATTCTAGAAATTAGGGTCCCCGCTCGAGCGTGTACTTACCCGCTCGAGCGGACCCTTAAGGCCTGTAAAAGTACTGGTTGCATGAAAAATGCGCTCGAGCGTGGAATAGAGCGCTCGAGCTGAAGGCCCGTCTTACAAACTCCACGCTCGAGCGTGAGGTATCCCGCTCGAGCGGACATCCAACTCTGCAAAAGTGCTGGGAGCACGATTTTCCCGCTCGAGCGTCAATTACCCCGCTCGAGCGGACATCAAAACTCTGGGTTTCCCAGATTTTGTTCTTGAGCTCCAAATCGGTTTTCCAGCTACAATACTTGCATGCAATGGCTCAAATTACACATTTACACATGCTAACATGCTACTAATACAAGATTACAACACCAGGAAGCTCAATTTCATGATTTATCTACATGCATGTCCCAAAATATCTCAAACCCATCCACAACATGCTCAAATTCAAACATTCAAGACTTATACCCCCATGTTTTGTACATGCATGCCCATTTTGACTTCACATTCATTTCAAATAATGCAATTAGTGTTCATTGCTATAAGATTCAACAAAGACATGCTTGCATGTGGGATTACACTACCAATCTTTCACAATTTCACAATTTACATGCTAGATTTTGTGATTCCATAGGAGTTCTCTACATGCATGCACATATCAAGCCTCAATTTCGATAAAACCAGCTCAAATCATGCTATTGATCACCACAACTCTTGAACACACAAAATTACACATTAACTCATGGATTCTAGAATCAATGCTTACCTAGAGGCTCAATTCTTCCA